TTGTTAGAAATTCATTGTACTATGAATCGATTTAAAGTTCGGTCAACCAGAAAAAATATATATAAGCGTGACAAAAAGAGCTCACACACAACATTTTTACGTCAGAAAGTTATCGAATGGAAAATCTTATCTTGCTCTATGAAGTTGTAAAGTAGTTAACAATTAGTAGTCTTTATCTTGCAAGTGGATCTGAACTACAGAAGTCCAAATTTCTATTTATTATGTGTCATTCTATTACAAATATTATAGCCGTCAGACTTGATTTAGATTCAGACATAGTTAACTAGTATATAACGTCATTTGCGCACTAATTTATAACGCAATTTTAGGTTTATTCTTAAACAATAAATAGTATCATACATGAGCCGTTGAGTTTGTCTCAACAAATGTCATAAAGAAAAACATAAGATTCCACTTCATTTGACCTTAAAATTTCCGCCATCACTCACCCTGCAGAAACATAATGTGCCGCTTTATACCAAAATTCCCTTAGTTTATTTATACTTATATTTATATTTATACTTATTCTAGGCTTGACTTCATTTTGTTACAAAGAACATTTTAACTTCTGAGTATTTCCTGTCTATGTAAAATGCTAAAATTACATGGTTCATCAATCGTGATGTCGCGAAGTAGTATTATTAATTCTTGCATGCGTACTAATTGCATAACGGAACAAAAAGAGACCAATTGTGACAGTACGCATTCCTATTTACATTTCCGTTACTAATAACATTATTAGCGGAATGTTTCGCGTAGTAACAGAAGGGTGAAACCATTTAACCGAATATTTCTTGAACATAATCTATTTTTGTTAGAGGCAACGCTATGGGATGTGTGTGGTGTGCCTATGTTTGTGTTAAAGCGATGACGTGACTCCATAGATTTCATATGTTTTTTTCAGTTGTTTCAGTTTCTTTCCGGTCGAGCAGTAGAACAGTCGCCACGTGTCGTGTATCCATAATTGTTTTATTTATCTTAATCATATCATATAATATATTTCATCATTCTCACTGCATATGCGAGATCCCGCTGTAAGTTTTATTCTTTTAATAAATATATCTTTTATTATAAAGAAACAATTTCAACAATTTTAATTCGTTAGTTCCTGCAATAAAAAGTTAGAAACGGATAAAGGTAATGGACTTCTCACCGATGAAAAGGATTAGATTCTAGGAGGAACCCGTTTCCATTAGGTGATATCCACGCGGTAATTTTTTTCAATCGATCGTATTTTCTTATCGTCAAAAATCTCTTTCGTTCGAGTTAAAACATTAATATCTCTCACAGTTGAATACATTACACTTACAATCAGTAAAATTTACTTTAAAATATTTAAAAATTCGAAGATTTGATTGATGTCCTTTCAAATAATCATTAAGATTTATTTCACTAATCAATGCTGGATTGATTTGATTTTCGTTTTCCTAAATGATTCGTTATTAATGATGAATTATTTATAAAAGAGAAACAAAACGATTGACTTTAGTGGATGTACACAAAATTTCGCTTTTTACTCGCTCATTTCTAAAAGAATGAACGATTCTGATGGAAGGATGCATAATTTTTTTGCGTTTTACTCACTTCAAAATCATGTTTTACTTATTTTAAAATCGTATTCCTCAGCATTGTGACCGATGCTTTGTCCTGCGCTTCAATTGAGCCACTTGTAAACTTTGGTCAAAACAATCTTTTTTAGTTATAAGTGATCTTTTCTTGCCGAATTTATATGTCTACTGCACTGAATGTCTAATAGAAAAGATATTTATTTGTCATGGCTATAGAATTTTATTGTTTTTGTAAGTACTTAGCATAATGTACTCAGAAAGATAGAAAAAAAGAACGTATGTTATAAAATACTTATGTACATAAAACATGTGTAGATATAATTCGGATTATGAACAACCTTACAGACAATTGTCCATTCATCGATAAGACATTTCTGGAATTCAATTTCTCGGCTGATAAGAGAAAACCAAATGTGCAGTCCAGCGCCCATATATATGCGTGAAAATACTTTTAATTATTCAATGCTTAAAAATTCTGAGTGCATATTTTTATTGTTTGTTGAAAGCGAAGTAGAATTAAAATTTGTAAATCAAAGAATGTATCTATTAGAATAAATGTACAATTGAAAAAAAGAAATTAAAAAATTAAATGTTACATACATATTTCCAAAAATAATGAATAGAGATTGCGAATAGGGGAAGTTTAAATTACCTGAACAAAGAAGATGCTTGATTGAAAATATATAGAGATACAGTGATTGTCTAGTAAAAATACGGATTGACTTGAATACAACTTACCTCACATCTTTGTACTTGATCGGTTAAATCGCCAAAGAAGAATGAAACTCATTTTGCACCTGATTAAAAGCAGGACTAAATCTCATCATATATCATACTCTTTTTATTTTTTAACACTTTACGATCCGCTATCTACGCTGAGATGCTTTGCTTATCTGTTTCGACTCGGTTACTAGCTATTTCGTTGATTATATGAAACTAATATTTAAAAATATATGCTGGTTTGTGGTTTGAACATTTTTGTTCAGTATAATTTTGAATATGTGCTTCACTATCGGATGAGGCGGCTCTTACCAGAATATACTCCCCGGAATATGAGCGGAAATAATCAATGACTTGTAATATTTTCTTATCAAAGGAGTGTCTGCTTATCGAAATGATCCTTCATGAAAATTAAAAATCTAATTAAGAACTGAAAAATTTAATGCTACATATTTCTAAAGATAATTCTAAAATAATTCTTAACTAACTAATGAAAGGTATTAAAAAACATAGAATTGAGTAATTTATTATAAATTTAAATTTATTGTTACTTCTGTATACAATTTATAAAAAAATTTAATATGGCAGGCTGGCGGAGAATTTGTTCAATTTATACAAAACATCGTTGTAGAGTCGATTGTGTTGTTTAAAAAAAGGTGATTGTGCTGTTAACACAATATTGGAGTCGTTAATCTGTGTTATTTGTCTTGTCTAATTATTTGTTATTTAATCACTATTACTGTTATTTAATAAACATTTATATTATATCTCTACAATATTTTATAATAAAATGATAAAAAAACGCTGACAGATGGAGATGTAGCATATAATATAGTTGTGTTATTCTTAATATTTATTTATTAAGAGAAACAAAAACGATGTAAAATTTATAGTTATACTTACAATTTATTACAAAATACAAACAAAAAACTAAGTTTTACATAATAAATTGTGTTAATTATACATATAAAAGATATATATAAAAATATACATAAAAATATACATAAAGAGAATAAGTAAAATATATATGTATAATAAAAAAATATTATACATAAAAATACAAAATAAGAATATAAATATTTAAAAACATTGAATATAAATAACAAAAAAATATTTATAAATAAAAATATAGAATAAAAATATATAGATAAGTTATGAAACAGAAACGTACGTTAATTAAACAGAGTTAATATTAAAGTAGGAACAATAGAAGTATAATGATGAAAATAATTGCCTGAATGTCTTAATTAATAAACTGAACAGATACATTTTAACTTCACCATTCTAGATAATAAAATAACTTTTCATGCAATAACTCGCATCATGAACTTAGTGAAATGGAGACTCACACATACATATACATAGGATTTGGTTTCCTATGCCTTCTATGTACACTTTATCAGCATTAATATAAAGTATTTTGAAATTTTATTAGAACAGAAACACAAGATTATCGTGATTATATTGGTAATGTTTGGGATAAATTTGTAAATTCATACAGGAGCTGTGGCAATATTATAACTAGATAGAACACAAACCTGCGATTAACGAAACAAGAACTAGAAAATTTTAAAAAGTGATGACAGACAATTAACAAAATAAAATATTGGGCAGTAATAATAAGTAATATGAAGTATATAATTCTTTATAACAATTATCGAAGTCATATAAGTTAACATGACCATACAATTACCAGTAATTGTATAATATAATCACAGCACATTAATACGATAGTTAACAAGCGATTTGATTGGTACAAATATATATGGAACCATGAATTTTCAAATTGCTTTGATATTTGACATGTCTCATAACTGTACGAAAGAAACACAGTATGTTATATAACACACATGATACATACATCATATATTCAAATACATTTGTGAAGCACTGTATTTATTTTTAATCAATATCGATTGAGTTGGAAAAACTTTTTAATATAATGCACACTACTCTTTCCAAATCACAAACATATAAAATAGAAGCTATTGAATGTAATCTTTAACCGAGAATTCTGTTTAATTTTTCTTCTTGTGGTGTGCTTGCCACGTAAAATTAACATTTCTATGTTACATTTCAATATTGTAGAATTTATTTACAATATAGATCGACAACGGATTTACATCGATAATATTTGAACATTGTGACAATAATCATAACTATATTTAAGGTTTTCATTGGCGCTGTAATCATTACCTAACTTAAAACACAAACGAGATATAGAAAAGGCGTAACACTTAACCCATTTTTATGTTATACGTTCGAGACGCTTCATAACTCTTTTAATATTTTTGTTACTACTACTGTACCGATTTAAGCAAATTTTGCATAGCAACACTACAAGTGATAGGAATTAAAATAAAAACTATAGACAATATTGTTACTTCTACATTGAAATTTATTTATTAAATTGAACGTCAGACTTTGCCAATAAAGAAATTATTAAACAATGGTTGAAGATTTAAATGAAAAATTTACTATATATTTGATTATTTATATCTATTTAAAATTATCATGTGATCATATTCAATTCAACAAATAATTTTTGAAACAGATGTTGCACCATTGTTTATATTTTTCGATTTTAATTCTTTCACTATCAGCGCTGCATAAATTTATACGACAGGATGTGACATGAAAATGGGGTCTTAATGAAGGAGAAAAAAATATATTGCTAGATATATATATCGATGTACGTTGTCTATGGTACATCTATTGTGGTATATATCCAGTTAGGGAATGCGCGTTTAATTTCCTAAAACGTTTTTCAAATTTCAGAAGTAGAGATATAAAATTCATAATTTCTAAATTTCAGTGTTACATTACATTTGTATCGCTATTGTTCTCGAATAATGTTTTTTCAATATGTACGTACGTATGTTCCGCAGAAAACATCTTAACCTTTCGTCAGTTCCACGTGCTATAGTTTACAGAAAGAGTTTGTGTTTATCATTAATTAGTTATTAATCTTTCATTAACATATGAAACTCTTTCATTAAAATATGAAAACTCAATTTCTTATATTAAAATCTATGAACAGAAGACGTAGAAAGTAAGTTATTTTAACTTTTTCGTTATACTTTTACTCTGTACTTTGTGTTGCATCATATTTTTCTAAAACTATAAATAATTTTAATTTTTATATTTATCATATTTTACTTCAGTTTAGTACATTTTTAATTTTTACATATAAATATAAATCTTTTTTATATTTCATATAATCAAAATGTTTTAAAGATTTTTATTTGCTATTTTGTGATAATAATGAATCATTATTTTATATCATATAGCATTAGAATTTAGTACTAAAAAGTCACTGTTCTATATAATATTGTATATTTATCAAAATAAAATAATAAAATTATGACTTAAGACATTGGAATTTTACACTTAAAAGAGATTAACTATGTGCTGAAAAATCTTAAATCAAAAGTCTGTTAAACATGTAAAAATTATTTAAATGTTTCATGAATCACAAAGGATTCAGTAGTTAATTAAATAAATGGTCTTTAGTTCATAATTAGTTTTATTTATATAACCATTTTTGAAAAGAAGTTGTACTGACAAGAGTATAATATTCCAAAAATATTTTAGACTTAAGAATAATGAAGTAACATCATAGATTTTTAAAAAAATTGATGCATAATGCTACGTTTATTTTAGTTTTTTAAGATTAATATGGTTTAATATAATTCTGTTAAAATATAATTATTCCTATAATAATTATGCGTGTGCTCAAAATGTTCATAACATTCAATAATTTTCTTTTCTGGTAAATGTATTTATTTGTATTTATATAATATGTGTATTCAAATATATATATATATAAATATGTACTCAAAATAATGTTTGCTTTTTGATTTAGGATTATTTAGAGATTAATTGTATTTATTTATTAAACATATTTTAAACTTCTATATTTTCATTTATGTTATTTTTAATACCTGTTTCCTTCTCTAAGGAACATATAGCTTTTGTTAGAAAATAACTTTTTCTTATATTTTATTTTGTTCCAATGAAATAGTAAATTGATATTATTGTAACATTTTTTTGTGTTTAGGGAAATAAATCTCATTTTTTTTTAAAGAAGTTAAAACTAAATGATTTTTATATATCTATTACAGATACTATCTTGAAATGAAGCAAGTTTTGAAAAAATTTTGTATCTTATTCATTTGTATTATTCTTTTGTATTTTAATTGGTAATATAATGGTTTATAAATTATTTATTCATGTAAAGAATTGTGTATTGCATTTATATCGTATTTATGAATTTGTATTTAAATTTATAAATTGTTTATTCGTGTAAAGAATTTTTAGAAATTTATAGGTTTGATCCAATAGACACGTTATTAAATGATGAAATGTTAATTTTAAATTTAAAAACTCTATAATTCAATTTAATTTGAATAATTTAATATTATACTAGCATGTGTAAGGGAATATTTTATTTACCTTCTTTTCTGTTGAGTAATGTGAACTGTCTTGATATGTTTTAAATGTAATTTATTAATTATTGAAATTTATCAGATAGTACATGTAAATGTAAATTATTAATTATGAAATTTATCAGATACGTGTTAATAGTGAATGTAGATATAATATATTAATTTTACAATAATCATTTTAATCATTCAAACCAACGAATTTTCACTTTTAAAAATGGACGTACAATCAATTGTTTTTTTATATTTTTTAATAGGTGGATGCAGCGAAGTGAAGTTATAATTGACTGTAGAAATGGTCAGCCAACATTGAATTATGGATAAGTTAATGTTGATGTTGCTTATGGGTAAGTAAAACAAAAATAAGTATTTATCAGTACTAAATAAGGTAATACTTGCAGAAATTCGTAATTATTAGATGGCAAAATAATTCCAGAAATAATTCCTATAAAATAGATATATTCATTTCTGGATAGATATATTCTTTCATTGCTTAAGAATTTGATGTAAAGAAATTATAAAATAATTGAAAATTTATAGGTCAAAGAACTGTATATGCTTGTTATTATGCATTTTGTGACCAATTTATTTGGGTTATTTAAATTTTAGATGAATTTTTTGTATTTTATTGCTGGACAATGATTATAATTTTATTAATTGTAGAAATTTAGTTGGAAAATTTTTGCAAGTATTAGAAAACTAATACATAACAGCTAAAGAATAACCATTAGTGATTATAGAATTATTATTTGTTATATATTAATTTAAAAAATTTTTATTGTACTTACATTACGCATATTTTTCACAATATGTCGTATATTTGTTACAGTGAAATTTTTTATTTGTTACAAAATATATACATGAAATGTATGTAAAATGTGAAATTGTAACAAATAAAATAAAATATTTTGATAATATTTTATTAATTAGTAATAATAATATAGTATCTGTATAGTACATTTACTATGTTGAGATTTAATGCTTCCTATCATTTTTACTATAGTAAATCTAGTTAAAATTAAAAATAGTAAATTAATATGGTTAATTTATTCTCTCTTGTATCGAAATTGTGTTGAAGAAAACTTTCAATTGAAAATAATAGGAATCAAGAAAATTCATGTTATATTGAAATTATATTATATATAATTATATTGTAAGACAGAAAGCCATATGAAAATGGAGATTTTTCTTTAAAATAAGTAAATAAATAATATCGAATGTATAAAAAAAAGGAAATAAATAATATCGAATGTATAAAAGAAGGAAATACAATATTTTTAACGTCAGGTATTGTTTGATGAAATACGTGTACATACGATACATTTAAAGAATTAAAATTACAATGAACTTATTAATTGTTTTCGTTAGTGTCATCTGAAATTACTGTTAGTCTAATTCTTCTGCTTTTAACGAACTTCTCGTCACTTGTAAATAGCTTTATTATTAACACTAGTTGTAACTATATAAACATTCGACATGAAATCCATGTTTATTGAGAAGTGGTTTCATGGAAATAGCGTTATAATCGTGTTATATGAGGTTTTCGCACCATGCTATACCGAAACCGTATATTGAAATTATACAAAAGTTATACAGCAGCGTTGTATACGTGTATTCATAATATATTTTTAATACTCTGTCCTAAATAACTTTCTAATTTTTTAAATTTAATACATAAGTTTAATATTACTATTATAGTAGTTATTACTAGTATAATTATGGTAATATTACTATTATAATAGTATTATATAAAACTATTACTATAATAATAATAATAATAATAATAATAATAATAATATATAGGGTGAATCATTAAGAACTGTTATCCAAAATAATTCGTCTTTTATTATTTGTGTAAGAAAATATTTTTATGTTCCATCTGCAATAGTTAGATATTTTTAGTTTTGATTTTTTATGTATTATATTTTTTGAGATTTAACTATTATTAATCCTTTGTATTATGATTTAAGTCACGATGTGCGTCTACAATCCGCCGATTATGTTAATCACCTGGATATTAATCTAAAACAGCGCTATATTCAATGTTATACAAACAATGAAATCTGATTAATCTTTATAAATAGTTTTTTATACATACATATATATAAACAGTTTATCAAGAAAGTTTCTCATAACTTTTAAATGTATTGCTACTAACAATTTATCCAATGAGCAGAAATAATTTTTGATCTCGAAATATAATTTATTTAATAATTGTTTTGTTAGTAATATTCTATTTTAATTTGTAAAAAGATGCTTATCTTGAATCACTCATGTCTGGAAAATAATGACAAAAAAATCATGTTTATTTTATCCTTTTAAGATTAATATGATTTAGTATTATTTTTTTCATAAAATCATGATAAAAGTCTTGGTACTTATATTGCGTTAATTATGCATTTACACAAAATGTTTGTTTCAAATTCTTTATGAAACATATAAGTAAACAAATATATAGGTTCAAGATATTGTTTGCTTCTGAGTAATTTTGCTTCTTGATTCAGGATTATTTATAGATTAATTGTTTTTATTTCTTTCATAAATATGTTTTAAAGTTCTACATTATATTTTGTTTTTAGTATCTGTTTTTTTCTCTAAGAAACATAGTTGGATCTTTTGTCATGAAATAACTTTTCCTCATATTTTATTTTATACTAAATTGACATTAGTATAAAATGTATACGGGAATTATAAATGATAGGTTGAGGAAGACAATCGAGGAATAAACGATCCTACCTGATATACAGGTAGGATTCAGAGAAGGGGACAATAGACAACTCATACATTCTGCAACATGTGGTTGAGAAGGAGTTGGAAAAGAAAGGAGGAAAGATAGTGATTTTCTTCATTGACTTAAAAGCAACCTTTGATAGTAACAATAGGAGATTGCTATGAAAAATGATGGAGAAGAAAGGAATAGAGAAAGGGCTGATAGAACGGATAAAAGAAATCTACGAGAAAACGAGCAATGTAGTAAGAGGTGGAGAAGCCCTGTCGGAAGAATTTTGGACAAGGGAGGGGGTGCGGCAAGGATGCGTGCTAAGTCCAACACTATTTACCTTATTTCTAGCAGATATAGAGGAAGAGCTTGCGAGGGAACAGTGTGGTGAGATAATGGTAGATAGGTTAAGATTCCGGTCTCTGTCATATGCATGGCGGTGGTCACCAGCACAAAATAGAAAATACAACAACTTACAAAGAGGTTGGAAAAGTATCTGGATAGTAAAAAACTTATTCTCTAACGTGGAGAAATCTAAAATTATGATTTCAGGGAGGATATTCAGGAAGGAGAAAAGAGAGAAAGAAAATGGCTTTGGAAATAGAAAGGCAAAGAAATTGAAGTGGTCAGGGCGTAATACCTGGGCGTAAAATTCCAGAGAAATGGGAAATGGAGTAAGCATATAAAGGAGAGGGTAAAAAATACACAAATAGTCATACAGCAGGTATGGGGGTTGGGAGAAAGTATGTTCCGAAATGATTTTAGCAGAAAAATGTTCCTTTAATAATTACAAATATTTGTACAAATTTTGACAAATTAATAGCCAGCGTTTTGTTGTATGAAGGTCTACGGATGGAAGGTTTTGGCTGAAGATAAAGGCAATACAGACTATATGTGAAATGGTGCCTTGGGCTGGAAAGAAGTACGCCAAATTACATAGTTCTTGAGGAAGTAAAAAAGGATAAACTAAGGATTTCAACAGGTCTCATACGACATTTCAAGAGCAATGTCGTATGAGACCTTGAGATGGACGAATGGAAAGTGGACAGCAAAAGAATGTCTAAAGGAAAAAGAAGAAGGAAGAATGAAAATAAGAAGTGAGAGGGAGAAAGTCGTTTTACTAAAGCTGCGGATATAGTCTAATAGGTAAGACTGATAGGAAATGGCAATATAATAGAGGCAATTAGACAAAGGAGTAGAGAGGTACAGGGGCAATTGCAATACAACAAAATCCAAGAGTCTAGCTATAATCGTAGGTATAAATATATTAGGATTAGTGATTGGCCAGATTACTTAAATAAGATAAGGGTAGGAATTCATAGCGAGAGCCAGGTGCGGAAATTTGAAGGAAGGTAACAGGATGAAAGAGGAGAGTAGGAGATGTATATTGTGTGAAAGAGGGCACACTGAAGCATCTGGTAAAGGATTGTAAAGTGTTGAGCTGAGTGAGGCTGATATAGTGTCAGGGAAGGCAAATAGCGACATTGTAAGATGGTTAGCGGAATTAGAGAAGAAGAGAAGGGAAAAGAGAGCGAATGGAAGTAATGAAAAAGGCGGCGAATGGGAGAACGATATGGAAGAATGAGATTAAGAATATAGTGTAAAGTTCTATTTCATGGCCGAGAATGGTCGAAATAAATAAATAATATTCTACTAAATTGACATTATTGTAACATCTTTTAAATGTTTTAAATGTTTAGAGAAATAAACCGCACTTTTTTAAAGATTTTCTAAAATCATCTTTTTTTTAAAGAACATTTTTATTTAATTCAGATAGACTTAAAATAATTAAGGAGAGTAAGATTTCTTTAAGACTCACAAGTAATGATTTATTTATATATATATTATAGTATATATATATATATATATATAGTAATGATTTTGGTATATATACTGCATGTAAATGAAATTATATTACCTTTAAATTATATTACCTTTTTAAATGAAACAATATGGATTCTCTATCTTATTTCAGTTGTATTATTCGTGTTTGTTTAAATTTTCTTGTAACAATGTAATTCATATATTTTTTGACAGTTTGCAGATTTAATCTAATAGATATGTTATTAAATGATAAAATGTTGATTTAAGTATAAATCATTAGTTATTGAAATCTATTATGAAATTTGTCAGATACGTATTAATAGTGAATGTAGATACAATCTATTAATTTTACAATAATCATTTTAATCTATAACAACGATTTTGAGTTTTAAAAATGGATAATCAATTATTTGTATATTTTTTAATAAGTGAATGCTGCAAGATAAATTTACAATTGACTGCATAAGTAGTCCTACATTCGATATCCTTAAAGATAAGTAATAGAGGTGAATAATAATATATTACATAGCATGTAATATGTAACAATAGTATATCATGTTGGAACTTGATGTCTAATATAGTAAACCTTATAACACGATTCATTCGTTCCGTATTGTATCGAAATTGTGTTACAAAAAATTTAGAATAGAAATTAGGAAAATAGTTCCACATTATATCAAAATCATATATAAGAAAATCATACGAAAATACAGATATTTTTTTATAAAATATATAAATAAATAATATAATCTGAAAGAGGGAAATACAATATGTTTAATGTATTAAAGTATTATTTGATGAGTGAAGTACATTTGTTATTTGGAATCAGTTTTGATCTAATTCTTTTCTTTTTAATGGACTGAATGTACTCAACACTAGTTCATCATTAATAGTAATTGCAAGTGTATAATATATACTATTATATTAATTATAACTGTTCATGCTGTATGTGAAAGTCGTTCATGTTCATTAAGAAATGATTAAATAGAAATTGTGTCGTACGAATACCGTGTTATAGGAGATCTGGAGCACTTTTCACTGTGTTATACTGTGTTATTTGCAATCATGTACCGTGTTGTAAAAGATTTACTGTATTGTAACACTTTTAATACGATGTCCTAAGTAATTTTCTAATTTTTAAAAATCTAATGATATTTAATATTATATAGTAATATATAGTGTAAGTCATTAAGAACTATTATCTAAAATATTTTTTCTTTTATTAGTTATATAAGAAAAATTGAATTATGTTCTATTTCATTTCCATCCATTTGATAGACGACGTATGTAAGTCGAAAAGGACATGAGTTGGAGTATATGATGTAGAGATGTATGCATTGCATATACAGTACCGGACAAAAATTTTGTTTCCCTGTGTTGTGATATTATTGGTAGGAGAGTGCCACTCTGTAATTTGTTTACTATTAGTCTAACGCTAACTCGCGTATTACATTTAGGTATTTGCTCTCTACTACAAATAAAGTAAGTTTTATTCAAATTAGCTTGGACAAAAGTATTCGAACAATTAATTTACAGGCGTAAATTACAATCTGAAGCATGATATTCGTCGAAATCTTATATTATATTCTTTTTTAAATCTATTTTAGCATGGTACGAAGTAAAAGTTTGCCAAAAGTTTTGAAAGAAAAAATCATTAATGGTTTAACAAGTGGGGAATCAATATCCAAAGTTTCTCGGAAGTCAATATCCAGAGTTTCTTCGTTTAGACATACCGAAGCAGACTATTTATTCAATAAAAAACCAATTTCTTCAACAAGGGCATTTAGAAAATGTGTCAAAAAGTGAAAAAGGACAAAGACTTGTTGTCCGTTACCAATTTCCTACTGTAAAATATGGCGGAGGTAGTGTAATGGTAGTGTAATGAGGTTGTTTCTCTGCATACGGCATTGGCCCCTTATATCAGATACACGGTATTATGAACAGGTCCGATTATGCTGACGCAAATGTTACCATATGCTTCAGAAAGAATTCCAAATAATTGAACGTTTCAACAAGATAACGATTCAAAACACACTTCGCGTTTTGTAAAAAATTGGTTCACACAAAAAGAAATTTTTGTAATGGTGTGGCCAAAGTGCGAGATCCTTAATCCAATCAAACACCTTTGGAACGAGAAAGCTGAGAAATTGAAAAATAAAGACGAATTATTTTAAATCTTACAAAAGAAGTGGGAGAGTATTAATCCTGCAACAATTCAAAAACTTTTGGAGCCAAGAAGGATGCAAGCAGTCATCGATTCAAATGGATATGCTACAAAATATTAATCATTTAATTATGCCTATATAATATAGTTATAATATATTATAATATAGTTATAATATACTTATAATATAGTTTACCCTATAACAATTTTAAGTAACTTGTTTTTTCTAAAGTTTAGTGATGTGTTAGTATCATCCGAATACTTTTGTCACATTTAATTTTGTTTAATATTAAAAATATATGTTTAATACAATAATTTATAAATTTTATTACAATGTCATAGTTACCATCCCTTTTTCTATACATTAATTATTTAGTAGAACATTTGCTGTATCGCATATTGAAATTACACAACAAAAAGTAATTGTCCGAATACATTTGTCCGGTACTGTATGTATGTATGTAAACATATATGTATATACATGTATACATATTTATGTTTTATCGGATTAAGAGGCCTTTTCTTTTAAATATAAGAAAAATGGTAATGGAGATCATATTTGAAGTTTATGTATTTATAGCTAACAAATATAATTACATGAACAATAATTGTATCCCTTCGATCTCAGTATTCTACGCATATTTTTTGAATGAACTGTTATGTCTCGTTCTTCTTATAACATTATATAGAGCAACTTTCGATGCACTGGTTCTTTTTCTGTTTCTTTTAACCTTTTGATTTATGTATGTATATATGCGTCCAGTGAGGGCTATTGGTGTGGATATTGGACTATGGGCGTATATACATATGCGTTCGGCAAAAGTTACCAGCATGGACTATGACACATATGTATATGCGTTTGTCAATTTTTTCGATCTTAAACGTAGTATAATTATAATTATTTTTATATAAAATGAATATATATGTATTCCTTAGCAATGGCAATAAACCAAACACTAACAATGACTATCTGTTTCTATCAGTCTTTTTTTTTTCGTAAGGAGTCGTGACTTGAGTCTTAACATACACAAATAAATTATTAATAAACCTAGTGATTTAAAAATGAATATTTTGTTGTTTAAAATATAAGTTTAAAGTTTATTGTTTGTTATATTTATTGAATTTAGTTTTCTTATTTTCAAATTAAGGTATATTGTAAATTTCATCGTTTTTAATAAGTAATTAATGCTCAAAAATAATGTTTATCCATTATTCAATTTGGTGTAAAAGAATTATCATAAAATTGTTAGTTACGCCCGGTGTATTCAACAGAGCGAAATTCCGTCTACACGGAGCACTTCGGCAAAAAGTATTCCGGGGCTCAAAAGATTAATATGTAGACAACAAAAAAATGAGAATTGATGATAGTACAGTTTTTTTGCTATTGTTACCTATATAGTATAACGTAACATAATGCAATACATTTTTGTTTTGTTATTATTGTTTCTTGTACATTTATTGAAAGCATAGAAGTTGAAAGTTAAAACTTATTACTCACCGAATCATTTTGTGACCGACTGTATGTGCAACTCGCGATATACGTGTCACCTTGCCATATTCTCTCATCCTGCAGTTTGCAGGTGTGTGGCATTTCCGTATATTATGTTCTTTTATCCTATATCTTCGACAGATTTTGTTCATTTTTATTATTAATCCATTTTATTGAAAAATGTTTAACATCCTCATCCTATTAATCCTTCGCGAACGAAGCTACCTATAGAGCGAGCATCGTTGTGGACGAAAGGTCCAGTAGCGCTCATTTTGCGCGAACAAAAAAAAAAAAAAGCACAAATTATAAAATAAAATTGAGTACAAATAAAATCAAATGAGTACAAATAAAAAAATAATTTCATAGAATCCACTAATAAAAAAATTACATGATGCAAAATAAAATAGATGCGTCTATAAACAAAAGTAATAATAGAAGGCAAGAATTTTTCTGTGAAAGATTCAATGATATCAATATGCAATGCTAGTAATCGATACAGCATTTGCAATGAGTTGATTTGCAGACAAACTTCAGTAATTGACAAAACCATAGAAGTGAACTAAGATTTATATTAGTCAATCTCAAAAATGATGGCTAAGGGCTAAAAGAAGAAAAAGATTTTATGAAAAAAAGAAAATTATTCTTCTAGAAAGAAGTAGAATCTTTAGTGAGGCTTTATTTAATAATGCAGTTAATTCTTTTTTTCAAGAAGTTAGAACAAGCAACTCCTGTAAAGGTAAAAGGAATAATTCTATCAAATGATCGTCAATAATACCGGTTCATACATTGTTATTAAATTGTTTTTAATGTTTGATTTGAATAATATCATGAGGATTTTTCTCGTGTCATGAGGATTTTCCTCGTGTCAGTGATATTTATTACGAAAATTAATTGCGCCATTTTTCGTAATATCAGTCTTATTTGTAAACAATACCATGTGTAGAAAATACTGCTTAGAGATATATATTGTGTTCAATCACCCATACTTCTCATAATCGCTTTTGGATAAACCTTGCACTCTTTGTGGTAAGGATAAAGTTGCTGCTTTTGTAAAATTTTCTGTACCACTGTCTTATGCCTGCTTTTTCTGTTTCTCTTATACTCAGAATTAGAAAAAATATTATTTGACTCCTTTGCGTCTAACATCTCTATCACTAATAATAGTATTATTATTGTTTGTTGCATTTCTTAAAAAGTACCAATTTGTTAAAGACGTTCATACATTCTTTGAAACGATTTCCTTTCGAGCAAAGAGTGATTCAGAAATCATTCTGCATGTAGAAGTCTGCTTTTAATAGTATTGCATTCTGCTAGTCCATACATAAGATATGTTAGC